TTATCTTTAATCTCCAAATCAAACTCCTGAAGTAAAAGAATCCACCTTATCAACCTTGCTTTGAGTCCTTTTTCTCCACCAAATATTTGATGGATGTATGGTCAGTAAAAACAGCCACTTTAGCACCAAATAAATAAGATCTAAATTTTTCAAATGCAAAAACAACAGATAAAAGTTCTTTTTCAGTGACTGTATAATTAAATTGTGCCCCTGTAAACGTTTTGCTAGCATAATAGATAAGATGAAATATCCTATTCTTTCTTTGACCAAGTACTACACCAATGGCATATCACTAGCATCACACATGATTTCAAATGGTGAAGTCCAATCGGGTGCAACAATTATGGGTGCTGTAATAAGCTTCTGCTTCAATTCTTCAAATGCTGCCTTGAATTGATCATCAATTATGAATGGGGTGTTCTGCTCTAGCAATCTGCATAGAGGTCTGGAAATTTTTGAGAAGTCCTTGATGAACCTCCTATAGAATCCATCATGCCCCAAAAAGCTTTTAATTCCTTTGACATTAACGGGTATGGGCAGCTTCTCAATCGCGGATATCTTTGCTCTATCAACTTCTAGTCCATCCTTTGATACTTTGTGACCCAAGACTATACCTTCTTTGACCATGGAATGGCATTTCTCCCAATTCAGCACTAGGTTAGTCTCTTCACATCTCTTAAGTACCTTTGATAAATTCTTAAGACAAGACTCAAATGATTCTCCAAAAGCCGAGAAATCATCCATGAATATTTCCAAAAAATTGTCCACCATATCTGTGAATATTGCCATCATACACCTTTGGAAGGTTGCTGGTGCATTGCATAATCCAAATGGCATCCTTCTAAAGGTAAAGGTTCCATACGGGCAAGTAAATGTGGTCTTGTCTTGATCTTCTGGTGCTACAGCAATCTAGTTGTAGCCCGAATATCCATCTAAAAAGCAATATAACTCCTTCCCTACTAGTCTATCCAACATTTGGTCAATGAATGGCAAGGGGAAGTGGTCCTTCCTTGTAGCATCATTAAGCTTCCTGTAATCCTGGCATATTCTCCATCCGGTCACAATTCTTGTTGGTATAAGCTCATTTTTCTCATTCTTCACAATTGTGATTCCTCCTTTCTTTGGTACACATTGCACAGGACTTATCCATTGGCTATCTGAAATGGGGTATATTACTCCTGCATCAAGCCATTTAATCACTTCTTTCTTGACAACTTCTTTCATTATAGGATTCAGCCTTCTTTGAGGCTTCACAGTGCTGCTGTAGCCTTCCTGCAGCAATATTTTGTGTGTACAGAATGTAGGGCTGATTCCTTTTATGTCTGCAATACTCCATCCGAGGGCTCTTTTGTGCTCCTTTAGTACTTTTAGCAACTGCTTCGTTTCTGCATCAGAGAGAAAAGATGAAATAATAACAGGTAAAGTATTTTCATCTCCTAAGTATGCATATTTAAGATGCTGGGGCAGTGGTTTCAGCTCAAGGATCGGAGGTTCTTCTATGGATGGCTTGAGTGTCTATATCACTATTTATCCAAGGGATTCAAAGTGTTTCTTCTTGTATGGCCTTGTTGGTTGGGAATCCATCAATGGTAGACATTTCTTCATCTCCACTTCATCGTCTGCATATTCTTCTGCTATAGCAACATTTAGTGGTTCTGTCTCTGTCTGCTGCTTAAGTTGTTGTAGCAGAACTGCATCTATAGTATCCATGCTAGCACATTCTTCCACTTGATCAGGATACTTCATGGCTTTGAGTACATTGAATGTAACTTGCTCATCATTGACTTGCATGGTTAATTCTCATTTCTCAACATCAATCACTACTCGTCCAGTAGCTAAGAATGCTCTTCCCAAAATGATGGGTACTTCCCTATCTGCTTCAAAGTCAAGAACAATAAAGTCAGCGAGAAAAATGAACTTATCCACTCTTACCAACACATCTTCAATTTTTCCTTATGGATAAGTTATTGATCTATCAGCCATCAACAATGTAACAGTGGTTGGACGTGCTTCTCCTATTCCAAGCTTCCTGAAAATACTTTTAGGCATAAGGTTAATACTTGAGCCTAAATCTAATAATGCATTACCTACATATTGGTTACCAATAGTACAAGGAATAGTAAAACTCCCTAGATCTTTTAGCTTTGGTGCTAACTTGTTGAGGTAATACTGACTGCTTTCTTGGGTGAGAGCTACTGTCTCATATTCCTCCAGCTCCCTCTTCTTTGCCAAGATGTCCTTCATGAATTTTGCATAACTTGACATTTGCTTAAGAGCTTCAACCAAGGGTACATTAATGTGCAACTGTTTTAGAACATCAAGGAACTTCTTGTACTGCTTGTCATCAGTTTGCTTCTGCAATCTTTGAGGAAAGGGGGTGGTGGTCTTGTTGCTTTGCTGACGGTCTGACCTTGCTGTGGTTTTGCTATAGCAATATTCTCAGTGTCAGCAACTTGAGGTTCTTTGGTTTGATCACGATTTTCCACCTCTTCAGCAACTTTATCTTCTTCAATCTGGCTCAATGCTTTCTGCTTCTGCTCATGGTAGTTCTTTATGACTTCTGGTTCATCTACGGCTTTACCACTCCGCAGTGACATAGCATTGACCTGTTCTTCTCCATTTTTCTTTGGGACTTCAGTATTGCTTGGCAAGGTTCCTTGAGGTCTGCTTCTAAGTGCTTCTGCCAATTGACCTACTTGAGTCTCCAAATTCTTGATTGATGCAGCCTGATTATGAATTATAGCATCACTCCTTGTCATGTAATCTTTCAGCATGCTCTCCAACGTACTTGATGTATCAGCTTGCTGTCTAGGTTGATGATGCTGCTGCGTGAATCCAAAGGGGTATGGAGCTTTATATGACCTTCTTGCTGTATCTGAGGACATTTGTTGTTGTCCTTGATGCTGTCCATGATGCTGTCCTTGGGAATAGGACAGATTTGGGTGATTCCTCCATCCGGGATTATAGGTATTTGAATATGGATTGTTGTTCCTATTGAAATTACCTATAAAAAACACAGATTGAGGGTTTATGGACAGTTATCATAAACATGGGGACCATTACAGAAAACACATGATATAGCATCAGTTATGGCATTGACTGGTTGTGCTTTAGCTTCAGCAGACAGATTCATCGTCTTGATAAAGTTGTTCAAAGTTAAAATCTGTGCTGACAGTGCTGTTACAGCATCGAGTTCCCAAACTTCAGTAGCCTTCTTTGGTGTTAAACTTGATCTTTCTATAGGCCACTGATAGTTGTTGATTGCCATCCTCTCTAATATTGCATATGCTTCTGTATATGTTTTTTTAAAAGGGCTCATCCAGATGATGCATCGACCATGCTCTTTGTTGGTCTATTAAGCCCATTATAGAATGTCTCCATTTGAATCCATTCGGGAATGCCATGATTTGGGCACTTCCTCAACAGATCCTTGAATTTCTCCCAAGCCTCATAAAATGACTCTTCTTGCAATTGCTTGAAGGTTGATATATCATTCCTATATTGGGTTGCATTCATGGGAGGAAAGTACTTCAATAAAAACTTGTCTGCTAACTCCTCCCAACTTCGGATTGACTGTGGTTGTAAAGAATTCAACCATGCTTTAGCTTTGTTGGTGAGGAAATATGGGAACAACTTCATCTTTAGAGCATCGGATGTAACTCCTCTGATTTTGAAAGTGTCTGCTACATCCATAAAATTCTTGAGGTGAAGGTGAGGGTCTTCACTAGGCATTCCATTGATTTGACCAATGGTTTGCAGCATGTTAAACATCACTGGCTTCAGCTCAAAATTTTCTGCTACTACATCAGGTTGAACGATTCCAGAATGCAGATTGTTGAGCGTAGGAATTGCATGCACTCTGATTGGGATCTCAACCTGATTTGGACCTTCATTGTTATTTCCAGGTCCATCCTTTTCACTGTTTCTTAGTCTTTCTGCCATGTTAGGTAATGCTGTAAGATTGCTACGTCTTTGCCATCTCCTCCTTGCTCGAAATGTTCTTTCAATCTCAGGATCAAAATCTGCTTCTTGCTCTAATGAAGAACTGCTCATACGCTGTAATTAACACCTTGAAAACAATAAGTAAGAAAGGTAAAGGATATAAAATAAAGAAAATTCCTTCACTAAAATAAAAACAACTTTATAATTATTTCTGGCAACGGCGCCAAAAACTTGTTGTGCAATTTGTAATCAATTAAATCTTCCACACAAATACGCAAGTGCACGTGTCACAAGTAATAAAGGGATGTGTGAGTCCAAGTATCGTTCCCACGGAGATAAGTGTAAAGTAATGATTATATAAGTAAAGAAAGTAGGTAAAAGATTGATTTTGATGATTGAATTTATAAAAGACAATTAAAACTAAGAAAATAGTGAACTAAAATAATAGGTATTAAGATGATGGATGAGATATAGGTTAGGTTCAATTTCCCTGATACAACAATACTGAAACGATGCTTTAACAATGCTATATCAATGTTTAACTAGTAACCGAACACTAAGGTATGCTGGGACTTTTGGCCAACCTAACATATATACCCAATAACTAATTCCCACATCTCTATGGCCAAACTAATCACTGAATTGTTCAAGTTCATGGCTATGTGGTGTGAATGATCTTTCTACCCTCAACTTAATCAAGTTATAATTAACCTAATTAATCCACACAATTCAACAAGGGTCTGGATTCGGAAACCTCTCGGCCCCAACCTCCTCAATATCACATATGTATCTCTCGACATGCACACATGAATAAGATTTAAGCAAACTCGTTGAATAACTAATCAAACATTAACATAAACAAAGTTTAGGCATACATCTCAATGTTACAACATAGGTACTTTATCACCTAACCTATAGAGCAAATTAGCTCATAATGGAATTAAATAAAACAGAGAAAAGAAAGGAAGAACTCATTGGAAAACAGAAAAGAAGATGAAAACGAATGTTGTAGGAAAACGTCGTCACTGCCTTGCTCCAGCAGCTCTTCCCTCTCCAAGAACCTTACTTTCTCTCTCTAAAACGTCCCCACTTGCTTCTGACTTCTCGAACCTTGAACCTCTCTGTACTCTCCTCCAAACTGTTGTAAACTGTCGTGAACTTCCCACTTTAATCCGTGGGGACTCCTCTTTAAATAGGAAAAATTGGTTGGATGATTGGGCTTTAGGGTTAGGAGTGAGATTCCCTGAATCATGTTGCTGCAGCCTTATCATATCCCTAGATTTTTGAGCGTTGACACTTGCTTGGATAAGATCTTGATCTTCTTGGATTTCTTGTGCCAATATTGTTGTTGACCGAATATGAGTTTGCTGTCCTTGTTCCTTGGGATTTTGGGATAAGAATACATCTTTAAAACCGTCCTTGATCCTTGCTTGCTGGTGTCTTATCCGTTTGTTAGGAATTAACTAACTTTTGAATTTCAAAAGTTCGGTTGTTCCCTTGTCCATGCTATCATGCTGTAGCGCTTGCTATGTCATTGCTTCGTCAGCTTCTCTGCTACAGCATTCCTACGTCAATTTTTTCTGCAAAGATAAACACTTAACAAGTCATCTTTTCTTACACAAAATCAAGGGATATTGTCTTATTTTCCATACCTAGTCATCTCAAAGAATCAATCATAAATATGCAACATTTAACTCATTTATCATGCAAAGAGATTAACTTATATGGAATTTATGCAACAAATTCATCATAAAAATAACAAATTAACTCTCATTTGGGAGAGTTATCAATGCCTACCATAGACCAGCTAGTAGATAACTCGGCTGGATTTCGATTGTTCTCTTTCATGGATGCTTACTCTGGTTACAACCAGATTCCAATGTACCCAGGGGATCAAGAAATAACTGCCTTTATTGCTGAAAAAGTCAACTACTGCTACAATGTGATGCCATTTGAGCTTAAAAACTCAGGGGGTACTTATCAGAGGATCATGAATAAGGTGTTTGAAGATCAGCTGGGCAAAAATGTAGAAGTATATATTGATAATATGATTGTGAAGTCATTTGATATGACAAATCATGTCCAGGATCTGGAGCAAACTATCTAGAAGCTCAGAAAATACCGCATCCGTCTAAACCTGGTAAAATGTGTGTTTGGAGTCCCAGTGGGGAAATTCTTGGGTTTCATGTTAACTCATAGAGGAATTGAGTCAAACCCTGACAAGTGCAAAGAGTACTTGATATGAAAGTACCCCAGAATAAAAAGAAGGTTCATCAGTTAACTGGAAGGTTGGCTGCACTAACCCGGTTCTTACCAAAGTCTGCTGAGAATGCCCTCCCATTCTTCAAATTATTAAAGAAGGAAGCGGTGGAAGGTTGGAATCCGGAATGTCAATCCGCGTTCGAAAAGGTCAAGAAATGCTTGGCAACTCCACTAGTGCTGTCAAAACCAGAACCAGAAGATACTCTGATCCTGTATTTGGCTGTGGGGGAAGAGGGAATAAGTGTTGTCCTGATCAAGGAAACCAATAAAGGCCAAGAGCCGATTTACTTCATCAGTAGAGCCTTACAAGGTGCGGAGGTCAGATATCAAAAGCTAAAAAAAGTGGCCTTCGCTCTGCTGATTACGGTCAGGAGATTGCGGCCATATTTTTAGGGACATCAGATAATAGTCTGGACTAATCAGCCTGTACGACAAGTGTTGCACAAGCCGGACCTAGCAAGAAGAATGACTAATTGGGCAATTGAGCTCAGAGAGTATGACATAACATATGAAAGTCGAAAGGCCATCAAATCACAAGCTTTGGCCGACTTCATAATGGAAATAACCTCGGTGAACCCGGAACGTGAAGAATCGGGAGGTACTTAGAAGGTCTATGTAGATGGATCCTCCATCGACAAAGGAAGCGAAGCTGGAATCATACTCGAAAGTCCAGAAGGGGTGACAATAGAACACTCCTTGAACTTGGGCTTCTCAACTTGAAACAATCAAGCAGAGTATGAAGCTTTGATAGCCGGATTAGTGCAGGCTAAAGAACACGGAGCCAAGAAGGTAAAAATCTTCAGTGACTCCCAACTGGTGACCTCGCAGATAGAAGAAAAGTATCAGGCCAAAGGCCCTATATTGATGAAGTACTTGAACAAGGTTCAAGAAATAATGACCGACTTCGATGAAGTGCAAGTTACTCACATTCCTCGAGGGGAAAACTACCGAGCTGACATCTTGTCTAAATTGGCAAGTATAAAGAATCCAGGCAACCACAGAACCGTGGTACAACAAAGCATAATTGTGCCAAGTTGCGTGATGATCATCACCTTGGCAAA